GTAATTTTATTGGTAATGTTCGTCATACTCTATTACCTCTGAAACTAGCTTTAATCGTCTGTAATGGGAATGTGTGAAAGGTCTTGAAAAAAAAATGTATGAAAACTATTTCGCACTCTTGCGGAAGCTGAAAGAAAAATGGTATCCTTTCTCCTTTTAGTTAAATATTAAAAACGCCCGCACAAATATGTATTCGATTGAGCAATTTGTTTCCTTCTTTTCACCGATTGTGCCATACACCGGCTTATTTACGTGTCTGCAAATATTTTTTAACGCGCGTCGGGACTGTAAAATATTAAATGTTACACATGTTTCGACGCGCTCGTAAATTACACGAGAGAAGAAAGTAATTTTATTTTTATGAAAATTGTAAATCATTAGGGATAATAAAATTGGACACGTCCTAAAAAAGTGACGGTGAATCATAATTGACATTGTCTGATAAATATAGCGACGTCGTCAGAGTTTAAACCGAGTTTATATATGACATGTACAACATATATATATATATATATATATATATGTGTACATATGTAATACTGATTTTAAGATTATGTCATAATGTCATCATATGATTTGTAGAAATTATCTTTAAAATGAGAATCTTTCTAGGAAAATAATCATTTTCTTGGAAAAAATCTGACGTAATGTAACAATCAAACGAAAGATCAACGTTTCATCTATGCAAACTAACTCCTGCTATTTGACAGTAAGTTATGTTATTTTAATGCTTTATCTCTCTTTTATCCTCTTCAATTATTGATACATTTTTTCCCACAGTTTTACATAGATAAAGACAAATTTTCATTAAATCACATTATTTCTTGCTCGAATTCTGAATTATCATTATCTTAATAATTAGTCTATTTAAACAACACGCTACAATTTTATTTTGAATTTTATCTTTGGTTAATGATTATCTATTGTATGTATATAAGAATAATATATGTATGTATATGTATATATGCATACAAATCGACAGATTCTATCTGTCTATAAATATTAAATAAGTTAAGTATATATATATAAATATAAGTGTCAAGATAAAACTATTAGCTCGAATTATATACTTATCATTTTATACTAATCCCCTCTATCATTTGATAAAGTAAACACGATAAACGACGGCCGCACATTATTACGTTTGGATTAGATCCAAACATAGTTTATCGTGAGAGAGAGAAAAAGAGAAGGTAAATATTTATCAAAGCAATGTTAATCTTTTCATCTATAAAAAAAATTCTTTTAACAAGAATTGCATAAGTATATTTAATAAGCAGGGTTGGATAAGTTAATGATTTTTTAAAACTAAGTTAAGTTAAAGTTAGTTGCATATAAAATTAATTTAGTTAAGTTAAAAGTTGCATGAACAAAAAATTAAGATTAAATTAACTGAAGTTAAATCCAAATAAGTTAATTTTTAAAAATATTTATATTAAATTAGAATTTTGTTTGTTAATTCTTTTAAAATTTATAATAACAAATAACAAAGAAATTTTGATTTTTATATAGAAATATATTTTTTTGTAATTATAAAATTGATGACAAATGAACATAAAAATTAATGATACTTTATTTTAAAAATAATACATTTATAACTTATAAAAAACCAGTAATGGTATTCAGAGATAAAGAAATTTAATTTACAATTAGGAAAAAAGTTAATAAATTTAAAGTAACTAGTTGAAGTTAAAAATTAATACATTTATATTAACTAATTTTAAGCTAAGTTAAAAGTTATAAACTTTTTAACTAATTAACTAGTTATTACCCAACCCTGTTAATGAGAGTTTTAATGAGAGGTTTATTATATGCATACGTGAGAAAGATTGATATCAAGGCAACAAACAAATTTCTTACAAATTTTATAGAAAAAACCGCGTCGCTTCGTATGCGAAAGCTTTTTTTTATCACCAACGATGTATCACAACGAGAAATAATGTCGGAATCTCGGTCCCGGAACATCCCACTCCGGATAACGAAACATTGCGTGTTACGTGTCGCATATCGTGCGACAATTAATCATAATACACTATTGTTACGTTATGTAATGCAGAATTGTACGCGACGACACGAGTTTACATTTAAAACCCGATGATTTCATGTTGAAATGAGAGCATCTAGATCTCCAAAAATAAAAGACACGATCGCACCTGCGGTTCTTGAGCATAGATTATTTATAATAGGTAAAATATGTGTGTATCTGATAAGGAAAAAGTGAGTGAGTGAAAGAAAGAGACAGAAAAGGAAATTAAAACTTTTGTTTTCGAATGCTAATAAGTGATAAGTATATATAAGGTGTATCTAAATAAGTGCGAAAAATTTTACATGATTCTTTGTCGAAAATTAAGAGGGATTTTTTATATGATATATTCTTATATCCCTCAGACAAATTAAAAAAATAAAACTTGGAGTAAAATTTGAGAAAAAAATAAAAATTTAATTTTTACATCCCTCTTTAGAAAAGTGTAACTCCTCAGAAAGGGATAAAAAAGTATATGTTTATATAAAAATCTCCTTTAATTTTCGACGAAAAATTTAAAAAATGAAACTTGGAGTGAAATTTGAGAAAAAAAAATAGAAATTTAATTTTTACATCCCTCTTTAAAAAGTGTAACTTCTCAGGAAGGGATATAAGATATATGTTTATATAAAAATCTCCTTTAATTTTCGACGAAAAAATTTAAAAAATGAAACTTGGAGTAAAATTTGAGAAAAAAATAAAAATTCAATTTTTACCTCCCTCTTTAAAAAAGTGTAACTTCTCAGGAAGGGATATAAGAGTATATGTTTATAAAAAATCTCCTTTAATTTTCGACGAAAAAATTAAAAAAATGAAACTTGTAGTAAAATTTGAAAAAAAAAAATAAAAATTCAATTTTACCTCCCTCTTAATTTTCGACGAAAAATCATCTCCTATTTTTTTTCGCATTTTTCGCACTTATTCGGAAACACCCCGTATATGTATGCTTGTATTGCACATAAAAGAAACACATGTTACTTATCATGTAAAATGTACGTGCAATTTGTACGTTTATTTACTTTGTTACTATTTATCTACAACTATATATACATCTATTTTATCTATATTACATCTATTTTATCTATATTTGATTATCGCAAACACATTATTTTAAAAAACTACACCGTTCGGGAGACAACATCGCCTCTTTATTATAATACAAAAATGTCTCGAAGTATAAAAAAGAAAAATAATTCAAAAATTCAGATTCTTTAAAGAAATAAGATTTGACATTTTCTGATCTCTTCTTGTATCTTAAACTTTCGTGTATCATATGGAGAGATAATGAGAAACTGAGGCTCACAGACGTTATTGTTTCTATAATAATGAGTGAAAAAACTAGAGATAACTTAGGATTGAAGGATCATTGTGGGAGCCTGTGACGTGACTTATTGTTGCAACGATGTTGTGTAAACGATCATCCCGTCTTGCTAATCGCAAAACAAAATGAACGTAAGAACGCGGCTCGCATCGTGAAACGCTGACTCAAGGCTTCCCTCGGTACATAAGGATGGCCTAACGACTATAAATACGTTCATTAAATGCTCCCACAGTCTATCGCGAAACGAGTGGAACGTGAATCGAAGTCAAATCAAGCGCTCGAGGTGATTCATAAAAGAGGAGATTCAATATAAGGAGGAAGGAAGGAAGAAGTGGAAATGGTACATTTCGTATGCATTCGGACAAGTGAACTCGGACGAGCGATCAATCGATGTCCGAGGGAATAATTGAAATCGCAGACACAGAACACTGCTCCGACTCTCACGAGACTCGTATTCATCAATAATTCAATTTAGTTTACGACCTGCACAAAATCCAATTCAATAAAATTCTCATTCTGTCGCTTAGATTGAAATCGATATAATTTCGAGATCGAATTTTCGATTGTCATAGATATATGGAAGAATTATCGATCCATATGCACACTGAAAACAAACTCGTTCAATTTACAAATATTTAGTTCAATGCGTTCAAATAAATATTTATTTGTTTTGAAAAGAATTTTCGATCGAATAAATATTATTAGTTTCAAATAAACGATTTATTTGAACATATTGAACTAAATACTTATAAAAATTAATTAAATTTTTTTTCAGTGCAATATATACATGTATATACATCAGGGTTGGGTAATAACTAATTAAATAATTAAAAGTTAAAAAAAGTTAAAGTTAATAACTTTTATCTTACCTCAGTTAATTTTAAATGTATTAATGTTTACTTCAACCAGTTATTTTTAACCAGTTATTTTTAAAAATAATTAACTTTTTTCCTAAGTTAAATTTCTTTTATCTCTGAATACCATTATTGTTTTTTATAAGTTATATAAACGTATTATTTTTAAAATAAAGTATTATTAATTTTATGTTCATTTGTCATCAATTGTAATTACTAAAAATATATTTCTATATAAAAATCAAAATTTCTTTGTTGTTTGTTATTATAAATTTTAAAAGAATTAACAAACAAAATTCCAATTTAATATTTATAAATGTTTTTAAAAATTAACTTTGAATTTAACTTCAGTTAATTTAATCTTAATATTCTGTTCATGCAACTTTTAACTTAACTAAATTAATTTTATAAGCAATTAACTTTAACCCAACTTCTAATTGAAAAAAAAATCATTAACTTATACCCAACCTTGATATATAAGTATTCTTCGTATCAAAAATTAATCCCAACGGTTTAATCAACAGCGAATAATTTATTTATAAATAATTCCCTCTTTTAATTGAAGAAAAAGAAAAGTGAAAAATATTTTTATTCGACATACTTATTTGACAAATAAATTTTTCAATCATTTTATTATCGTACAATTACTTTATTATTTATTATATCATATGTCATTACGTAATATTGATTCTCATTAATATTACAAATATTATTCGCCGTTGCGAGATAAAAGCAGATACCTCAATGAAATTAATATTTCTTATTAATTCCATCGAGAGAGACAAAATCTTGTAATACTCACTGACTATCGGAAGACCGCGCACGAATTGGTCAACGTTGGTCCAAAAACCGTAACACACACAACAATCTTCGTGACACTTCGACGTAAGCGAAAGTAGCCTTCCTTCTTCTCTCTCTCTCTCTCTCTCTCCCTCTTTCTCCGGTCGCCCACCGATTCTCTCAACTTTCGGACAGCTACGGGACAAGGAAGACCGAAGGGAGTCGAAGGGATCGGCACGACGGCTATCAGTGATTCTTACTAATATATATACGCATCAAAAAAAATCGACCGCTTCGGCTGCTCCGAGAGCGCAAAAAAAGCTAATATGTCAAACCGAACTGTCGATGACAGTTTCGGAGCAGAGGTGATTGAAAAAAAAAAAATAATGCGGAAAAGGAAAAAAAGGTATCGGAGCGTTACTCGACCGCGTCGGAAGTGTCGAACGCACTACCGTCGTGCCAACTCGCGGACTGGCGAACGTGATGCCGGTGCATTGCTTTTAACCGATTCGCCATATTGGTCCCTTCTTCCCACTTTGTCGCGCTCCGCCACAACACATACACGCACGTTCTCTCTCTCTCTCTCTGGTTTTCCCTTTCTCCTTCTCTCTTTCTCCCTCCACCTTTCTCTCTCTCTCTCTCTCTCTCTGTCTATCGCGTCCGGATCTCGTCGAATGCGCCACGCGAGACGTCGAGATGGTATGGTTCACCTGCACACGCTCTTTGACGTATAGTCGCGCAAGTGACGTCAGCGGCGACGATGAATTCCTCGACTGTATGGGCTGTCCGGATATGTGCGATTGTGTCCGAGGATTATGTCATTACTTTATGTTAATTGCGCAAATCAATCTTGCACTTTGACACTGACAACGGCTTCTCGAATTTGTTTTTTTTTATCGCCGAGTCAAGTATCAAAGTAAATATAATTACACGCGGCGTAATGTAAATGTAAATTCGAGAAATATCGACGATTTTTCGAAGCGTCATCTATTTATGAAGGTTTATGTCGTTCTTGTATACCCGGACGTATTTCGAATTTCGAATTTACATACGTATGAATATGCAAAATATCAATTTTAATATCATTTGCTGATTGATCTTGCTAAATTTAATCGAAGTAGGATTCTATGCATATTAAAGAAATGTTCACAAATCGCAAACATAAATACGGTTTATTCCGCGAGTGAACTCTGTCCCTGGTATTTATTATGTGTGTTTTATTTAGTATAAGTTAGATTAGATTAAAAGCAAAAATACATAAATTTTTCACGATATATTACTCTTTAACAAAAATTATATAGTATATTATTTTTAATACATAGTTTTTAGAGAAAATAATTTTTAATAATATCCAAGTTATGGTATAAAATGATTTTGTGGGTAATGCATTTTCGCTTTTTGATAGTTGTTTTACCAATCACTTTCGTATTCAACTTATTCAACTTATTTTATACAATTTTTTTTCAATTTCTTCTGAGAGATCTTTTTCTGTTTCTCGAATTGATAGATTTAAATGCAAAATTGTAAAAACACCCAAAATTGTAAAAACACTCAAATTGAAAGATGTCTCAAGACGTCAAACGATTTCGTTTCCATTTCAATTAAAAAATTTTTAAAAAAGTTCCAGAAACAAAGAGAGAGCACAAAATAGAAACATGTATTGGAGCAAAAAGAAAAGAAAATATTATTTTAGAAAAAATCGCAACTTCGCAACTGCAATTATGCAAAAATCTTGTACAAACTTAATTGATCAGGAATTATATTTTTTTAATTTAATTTAATTAATACTTAATGTCGATTACATTATTAATTACGACTTATACACTGAAAAAAATTATTGAATTCGAATAAGTATTTATTTTAATACTGCCAAATAAATTATTTATTTAATTATTTATTTGAAACTAATAATATTGATTTGATATAAAAAATATTTATTTGATATAAGAAAATCTTTTTCAAAACATAAAATATTTATTTATTTCAAATAAATCATTCATTTGGGAATATTCAAATAAATATTTATTAATTCAGTTAATTTTTTCAGTGTAACTATATAAGAAAATTAAAATATATCAAACAGGTGAATTGAATCGTTCGGCACAAACAATAAAAAAATTGCTTAGCACTGAATACATAAATTAAATCGATAACTACTATCTGTCTAAAAACTTGGAGAATCTATATATCTCAGCAAGTACGCAATACATAAGTACGGTCATAAAATCACTAGTAAGCGTTTATTTCTGAGTTGCTCGCGGCTGAGGAGATGCTATTTCGAGTTTGGACTTTCCAAGGAAGGGCCGGATATTCCGCCGAAGGCCAGACAAGTTCACTGACACGGAATAGAATATTATATTTGAACGAAATCGAGGAAGAATCGTCGCGTGTCCTCGACAAGGATGCTTTGACATTCTCGTTCATTCTTCCGATGAACTACGAATCCTCCAAATCGTCAATCGTCCTTTGCGAATTGTGAAATGAAAAAAGAGAATGGAAGGCAATCGATCGACAAGGCGACCTTATCTCTCGATCGACCTTAAACGCTCTAGAGAGAAACGCCTACATTTCCTGTTTTCCGTACAAATATCCTCGACGAGCTTAAAGATCACGACCTCGTAATCGCATTTCGAATAGATTTCCGGAATAAATTATTGTTCGATTATTATTTTGCAACTCTCAAATTCATTTAAGATAATTATTCATAACAGATATCACATGTCCTAAACGCTCCACAGAAATTTTTCTGTTAATTTTACATAATATGGATGTGTTAAATGGAGACAAATATTGCGTTAATATTTTAATAAAATAAACTATTAAATAATTTAAAATAAATTTTGTGGAAAATTAACATAATTTTAATGTAAAAATTAACAAAAAATATGTTAATTTTAGATTTTATCATCCCACTTATATTATAAAAAAGAAAATCAACATTTTTTTCTGCTAATTTTCAAAAAAATCTTGTCACTAATAAAGCAGAACATATTTATTGTGTAAAATTAAAAATAGATGCACATTGTGTTATTTTTACATTCTCTTTCAGTTCTTTTAATAATTTAACATTTAAGTTCAATTAACAGAACAGTAATATGTTAAATGAACACATGAATATGTGAAATATTTAACAGAAAAATTTTCACGGGGACCATTTTTAACAAGAAAACACAAATTTTTCTACTGCGCAAGAATATATCCTTGCGAAAAAAAGAGATTCAATCGGAAAAGAAAAATATGACGGAGTTGAACCACTTTTTGTTTAAAGTCATATAAATATTTATCTATTTATAGTATAAAAATGAAGATTATATCAAATGAAAGGCTTGACATGTGAGCTCCTAATTATAACCAAAAAATTTTAAATATGTAATCACAACAAAGGAGAAATGTCTCAAATGACGGCAGAACAAGTGGCTCAACGTGCCCCACTAGTGGGGTAAGTTAAGACAGCGTGTGGGGTAAGTTGGTCAATAAGCTGAAAAACTGAAATTATATAGGAAATCATTGAAAAATAATTATATTATTAAATAATTTTAATGAAATTAACTCTTTACATTATTATAATCTTTACATTGATTATTCAAAACCAACAAAACATGACATTTATTCATTAAATTTTGAAATAAAAAATAAAACAAATTTGAAGAAAAATTAAAAAGAAATTAACAATATGTTATGGCACTTTATAATAAAAAAAAAAACTTTTTTATATGACTTAAACTGTAAAATAAATAAAAAAACAGCAAAATTAATATTTACATTAATACATTATTCAACTATGTATGTGGGGTAAGTTGGGCCACTTTCACAACTAGCCCCGTCTATGAATTTTTTAATATATATCCTTATATTAAAATTACTTACTTCAATTTTTTCTACCCTCTCGTTAACGTTTGAGACCAAAACTCAGTAACGACAAATAGTTCACAAATAAGGTATAAAAACACATATGTCGTGTGTCCGTCCGTCTGGAGTGTCTGAATGCGATTAAACTCGGTGCGCGATATCATCGTTATATGGTAAAACGCTCTTGCACGTTCCTGTACGCGTCTTTCTTTCTGAATAACAGCCATTGACCTACTTGCCCTATGGCTCAACTAGCCCCGGTCTACCCTACTTTAATCGTGGAAAAGGATTTATTGATCAGTACAATCAATAAAAAGTTATTTAAAAAAGACTAAATATACGCATTTAGTCGGTAAAAACATACCTCCGGCATCCCCTTAAATCTCAAGAGTATGTAATATAAAAATCATCATCAATCATGATAGAAAAAAATCTGCAAAAAACTCGTGTTAAGAATGCCTCGACTTTATCTATTAGTCTTTCATTCAAAACAAATTATACTCCGTAAAAAAAGATAATCCAGTTTTTGTTTCAATGAAAGATAATAGAAGCAGAAGGATTTTTCTAATTTAAATATTTCTTACTCACTTCTCTATTTTCTTAGAATACATTTTAATGACTTGTTAGCCTTATTTTAAGATGGCAAACAAGTTTTTATTTTGATAAAAGATACGAGAGAAGCAGAGGGATTCTTCTAATTTAAACATTTTTTACTCACTTTTCAATTTTAAAAATAAATTTGAACAACCGAATTTGCAAATCTTATTTTAAAATACATTTTTGCTGCGTTCCTATTTTTTAAGGTAAAAGGTGGAAGTATAATATTACATCGGCAGTATTTAACGCAACACTCTCGCTTTCTTAACCTTAATTTTGCAAGCGGCTTTTGCGATCTGAAAAAAATAACAGTGCTAAAGTAATAACGGCGGAATGACTGTATAATTATTTTCAGGAAGCACTCAATGTTGCATGACGTTTACGTAATGCATAAATATTGGATGCGTTAATCGATTTGATATCTACTGTTAACTTATTTATTAAGTAGAATATCATCGAAATTTCTATGCGGCTAATCTTGCAAAATTATTCGTGCAAATAGAAAAAAAATTTGCAAAGAATATGCACTTGAATATGCATTTTTACTTAATTTTCCTTGTGAATAATAACGTTCTTGCAATATTATGCTATAAAAAATTTTCAGTTATGCAAAGTACGAAAGAAATGATATCTTAGTACAATCTACAATAATTAAGAATCTCGCATAGTTTTATGAAATTTTATCAATGTTATAAGGCGATATGGAAATCAAGCATTTACAGAGTGTACACTGAAAAAAACTATTGAACTCAAATAAATCCATTTACACATTTATTTGAAACAAAGAACTTTATCTGTTTTGAAAAAGGATTTCTTATATCAAATAAATATTCTTTCACGGTAAATCAATATCATTAGTTTAAAAAATGATGTATAAAATAGTATTTATTAAAATAAATATTTATTTGAATAATTAAATAATTTTTTTTCACTCATTTGATACCTGTTCGAATTTTTTCTTTTCTGGTTTTCTCTTTTAATATCTACTCACTCATAAAAACACAACTGCGATCGCAAAATACAATATAATGGCGTGAGATACTATAGA